GCTCCAATATGGTGATTGTTACAATCAATGAATACATACTGGTGAGCAATTGGGACATCGCAGAGGCAATTCTGTCAAGTATGGAACTGGACCTGATGGCCCAGTTTGTGAGTTCCAGCTGATGCTTGTTGCGGAATTTCGATCCATCATCATGCTTACCATGTGTTTTCACTATATCGGTTCAATATAATGATTGTTCCAGTCAATGAATACATACCGGTGAGCAATTGGGACATGGTCGAGGCAATGCTGATGAGTAGAACTGGATTTGATGGACAAAATGGTGAGTTCCAGCTGATGCTTGTTGCGGAATTTCGATCCATCATCATGCTTACCATGTGCTTCCACCATATAGCTCCAATATGGTGATTGTTACAATCAATGAATACATACTGGTGAGCAATTGGGACATCGCAGAGGCAATTCTGTCAAGTATGGAACTGGACCTGATGGCCCAGTTTGTGAGTTCCAGCTGATGCTTGTTGCGGAATTTCGATCCATCATCATGCTTACCATGTGTTTTCACTATATCGGTTCAATATAATGATTGTTCCAGTCAATGAATACATACCGGTGAGCAATTGGGACATGGTCGAGGCAATGCTGATGAGTAGAACTGGATTTGATGGACAAAATGGTGAGTTCCAGCTGATGCTTGTTGCGGAATTTCGATCCATCATCATGCTTACCATGTGCTTCCACCATATAGCTCCAATATGGTGATTGTTACAATCAATGAATACATACTGGTGAGCAATTGGGACATCGCAGAGGCAATTCTGTCAAGTATGGAACTGGACCTGATGGCCCAGTTTGTGAGTTCCAGCTGATGCTTGTTGCGGAATTTCGATCCATCATCATGCTTACCATGTGTTTTCACTATATCGGTTCAATATAATGATTGTTCCAGTCAATGAATACATACCGGTGAGCAATTGGGACATGGTCGAGGCAATGCTGATGAGTAGAACTGGATTTGATGGACAAAATGGTGAGTTCCAGCTGATGCTTGTTGTGGAATTTTGATCCATCATCATGCTTACCATGTGCTTCCACCATATAGGTCCAATATGATGGTTGTTCCAATCAAGAAATACATACTGGTGAGCAATTGGGACATGGCCACGGTAATTCTGATGAGTAGAACTGGATTTGATGGACAAAATGGTGAGTTCCAGCTGATGCTTGTTGCGGAATTTCGATCCATCATCATGCTTACCATGTGCTTCCACCATATAGGTCCAATATGGTGATTGTTACAATCAATGAATACATACTGGTGAGCAATTGGGACATCGCAGAGGCAATTCTGTCAAGTATGGAACTGGACCTGATGGCCCAGTTTGTGAGTTCCAGCTGATTCTTCTTGTTGGTCAAGAGTTTCAGTTGATTGTCATGCTTACCTATGCTTCCCCCAGGGTACAGATCAAAGAGAATGAATGCTCCAATGTATAAATATGCAACAATGGCGCCGGACTAGTTATTAGGGAGACAAATCTACTCGTTGGAACTGGAACTGATCTTAGTTCCTGCTGATGTCCTTTTGGACAGTCATGGTGCTTATGCTTCCATGATTGCTCCACTTCATAAAAGTATACTAATAGCAAGTGATTGATGGATCATCTTCACCTTAGAGTTCCACTGCCTTAATGATTGTGCTCCAATTAGTATTAGTATAGTACTTTTTGCCTGATGAAATGGATTTGACTGATGGCAATGCGAAGCAGATAAAGTTGGTGCCACTATGGTTAGTGCTTGTATTGACTTTTCATCTGTGATGGGACCCAGACTCACTGTGATTGACTATCATTCTTTCAGTGCCAAAGTATGGTGTTAGCTAACAGGGACAACACCAACATTTGTTTGGTGATGCTGCCTACCGGTAGTCATTAGTAGGTAAATAGTTTATACTAGGTGGTAATAGGCCTAATGTTTTTTAAAACATATGCTACTGTACTATTTATGAGCTCATCGGACAAGATTACATAGCCATGGTTGGTAATCTTCTTCAGCCTCCAATTGACAAGCAACTCTCCTGACCAGGAGGTGGATCTCAATAGTAATGTTATTGTTCTTGTTCTGACTTCCAACTTGGGAGCCTGATTCATTGGCTGTCCATGAAACCTTGTCTCATCTTCTAGGAAGAGCCAGCCTGATTCCAAGATGCCGTCATGAAGCTGATTGTCTTGTAAACGCCACATCGCTAATTCTTCAATCGTATCAAGTGTTGGATCTCCTCAATCCTGCTCCCATTTTAAAAGCAACTCTCATGACCAGGAAATGGATTTCACTATGGCATTGTTGCTATGCAAGGAAATTGATCAAATGCATTGATGGTACAGTGCTCGGCAATCATCTCCAATAAGATCGCATGGATTCAATTGAAGACATTGGCCTTGCAATGATTGCCACAATAAGGTGGAGCCTCTGGCCCAGCAAACACAAGAACCAAGTCCACGCATTCTTCTATTGGCAAGATCTTCTGCCATGGTTGCAAGGTGCTACTAGCAGAAGTTTTGGTGGGTTTCTTCTCCCTGTATAGTATCATCCAAGCATGATGCTGAATATTCAATGGTTTTGGGGAGATATATGGCGCACCTTTGGTTGTTTGACCGTGAGATCATGCATTCCAACAAAAAAAATTTAAAAAATATATATGACATGAATGATATATAAAAATTGATGGCAAGTTGTCTGTGATTTCGGTCCGAATTCAAATCTGAGAATTTCTCAGATTTAATTAATTTTGGCCTTTGGCAGGCTGGCGTGCAATTTTTTTTAAATCTGAGAAATTCTCAGATTTGAAAAGCCAAGGTATCAAAATTGGACCAAAATATTGATTGACGTATGTAGAATGTACCATAATCAAATCTGAGAAACTCTCAGATTTGAATTCTGTTCGCAAAAGGGTTAAGAGAAACACCCCGACAAATTTTGACGAGACACAAATTTCACGGCCCGTCTGTCACCCGTACCATTTCATGCCCATATGTCTGCCCTTCGTCTGCAAACCAGCCTATCTGGGGGAGATGCAGCAGAAGGATTTGTTACTGCAGAGTGGCGAGAAAGATATCATAGTTGAGGCTATTCTTGCTCCAACAGGTGGTTCCCCTAATGATCCAGATGATTCGGACGCTGAGGAAGAGGTGTTGTGTCGTCCTTTGGAACTAGATGCTTCAATGCTAACAGCAGGCTCGAAAAACTGCTTAGGAAGCATTGAATGTATAAAGCGGCCAGCGCAGCATCAGATCTAAAATGTACCTTAAAGATTGTGGTAGTTTTCTTATCAAATTTGGTTCAATTGTTACCTGAAACTGCAAATTTTCTTCTCCAAGGGGGCTCTGCCCCCTAGATACCCCCCGCAAGGCTCTTCCTTGACTGGCTGGGGGCTACCCCCAGACCCCCCTTTAATAAGAGGGGAACCGCCTTAAGAGACATTTTGCAATACTCTCTTAAAAGGGTACCCTTACTGTATCTACATTATTCCAGGCATAGGTGAAGTTACCGTCATGGTACGTGTACTGCATGATCTATATTGAGATAGGTTGTCAGCAGCTTTCAGCAACCAGCGTCCCGTACCATATTGTATGCCTTCCTCAAGCAACTTTTTGTTAGGATGAAAACTCCCTTCGAAGGGCCCCAAAATAAGATAACAGGAGTAGCAATAAAAACAGCATCATTTCACAGCGCTGTATTCGATAATCCTTCAGCTGATGAAAGAAAGTCGTCGCTCAGTTTTCCCAAATGAAGAAAGGCACACCGAGCTGCGACTTTGATCCTTTCATTTCTCTGGATTTGGCACGTTTCCTACATCCTTACCAATATTTTGCCATTGCTGGGGCATCAGCTGATCCGGTAATCCAATGGAGTGTCGAAATGTGCCTTCTAGGAATAGATCTGACGTGTAAGGTACATCAAAGAAACGGATTGCTTCGCGAGGGACATTGTCTATGTCTACAAACTCAGAGCCTTCAAAATCTTCGTCCCATCGGTCAATCGACTCGGTTGTAACTCTTACGGTGTAGAGATAGTCACCCGCAGCATCTTTCCTTCTCTTAGATATCTCACACTTGTATCCATATTCTGATGGACCCCAGTCGAATGTAAAAGAAGCCCAGTCATCCTCTGATTCGTCTTCTGATTCGTCTTCTGATTCGTCCTCTGACTCATCCTCCGAATCGTCCTCATCATCGACAAGATCAATGTGACACCTGAGATGAATGTTTTGTGGATAAGGATCGTAGAAAGATTCTTTGACAGTTCTGATGGGTAGCGACTCCATCGCGTTGTTCCAATCCCTTGCGCTCAAATACTTCTCAGAAGACGACACTGGCTGCCAACTTTCACTGTGTTTATTCCATGCCTCTTCCCACGCATCGCCATAGTCTAGGAATAGCTCTTCTCCTGCTGTTATATCCCGGGTAGCCACATAGTCCAGTGCCAAACGAGCGCTTTGTGTGCTGAACATTTCATCGGGTCGCTTCTCCAGCCATGCAAGGTCATGGGCCGTTTCATGGTGTTGAGACCATACTACTTTCACATTCGCTCTTGTTTGGTTGTGGTTAATATAGCCCACACCTGCTCCATCTACGTCGTGTTCAGGGGATCAAAAGTCAAGGGTGAAATGTTAGAACCAAACAGAAACTTTTCTTAGCAAGAGTGACGACTTCTGTCCTACTTACATGGGCAGAGTAACAAGGTTGATTCAGAATGGCCAAAGCAATAGTTCAACAAGAGCTGGTATCCTGCAACTTCACTCCTCAGCGTTTCATCTGCATCTGGATCGCTGTAAAAGGCCTTGAACATTGGCATGAAACGATCTTTGATTGGAATGTGATGGAGTGGGGAGCCTGTAATAACTGTTCCTTTGGGAAGGTCGCGTTTGGCAAAGCCGCCATGTCCAGCTCCTTCAATGGTAGACTGCCCTGGTGTGATGTGGTCAACGCATTTTCCGTTCTCTTCGAGCCACTCCAGAGATCTCGTTGCATTTGGCTGGAAGACCATTCCAAGATCATGTTCGACGGCGATTGTTGCCTCACTAAATGTTTCTGGCAAGGCGTTTAGCGTCCTAGAATTCCAAATAGATCGGATCGAAACCATCAGTTCTTCATACGCAGCCGACTTGAATGCTTTGTCCTTATGTTGGACTGTTTCGAAGAAAGCATCCAGCAAATCTTGCGCCCACGGGTAGTCATGAGAAATAGGAAGAGAATCAAAGATTGGTCGAGTTGTAAACCTGTCGTTGGTGACGAAATCATTAGAAAATCGCACTAGGAGTAGCATCAAAAAGTAACATTGAGATATGATGCCAGACGTACCAAGAGTCACCATAAAACTATGGTTTCGCAAATTAGATTAGTGAGAATTCAGGTGTACTGGTACTTTATAAAAAAGAAAACGATTGTTCGCTGAAACAATTGTGCAGATTTTAAAAAAGCTTGGACGACCTACCTTAAACAATTCTCCTCCTGCGGGGATTTTTCTCGTCACTCGCGTTGTGCCGTTGTGGTAGGGAGAAATCGCCCCAGCTCCCGGATTTAAATGTCGATATAGACCACCACCATCGTATATCGGAGTTGATTTCGCGACGTTGATCAAAGCCAAGTTGCAGTTGATTGCGCAATCCAAGCCCTATATTTTCGCAGATTCATAGAGGAAATATTGTTGAGAGACGATGTAATCTCGTGGACAACATGCATCTCCTACTTACAGGACAGTATGCTTCCTTATCCGCTGATTCGATTTCTAGTTTCATTCCCATGATTTCTCCACCCCAAACGTAGTCATGGAATGGGTTCCAAACTTCCTTGTGATAATTTTTCGCATCCAGAATGGGAATGCAAACATCACCTTCCCCGACACTGTCTCCTGGATTGCGTTCGATAGCTGAGAAAATGCCAAGTCCAGCATGTGGAATCGTCGACTCCGCCATGTAAAGATCACATTGAATGGCAGACGCAGTATGGATAATAGATAACGCTTGGACCACTGAGGTTTTCCATTTTGTATGCTCTGCCATATTCTGCGACGGTTTGTTTCAAGTGCAAACAAGACGTTTACCGTACACACAAGATCTGCGACAACAACGATCAAGTTTTTGAATTGTGAGCAAACTTTTTTGGTCGCACATATTACCAACGGTATTTTGGGTCAAAAAACTGTCGGAAACGACTAAAAACTCGATCTTAGTGAGAAACGACGAAACCAAACTTTCCAAACTGCCTGGTATGAAGTTGCAATGATACCAATGAGTGATGACTGCAAAAGTAGTGATCGTGACATTTGTTTTCATAAAAAATTGTTATGTCGTCCTTTCATATCTCATCAGAAATAGTATCGTATTGAGTATGCTCTTACAGTGTAGCTACTATGAGTTGATATACCCCACCCAGGCAATGGATCTATTCGTCTTCGATCAACTTTCATCAATGGCTTTGACATAACATCCCCAAAATGATTTCGTCAACAACACTAATAGAGAAAGCGTTCCTCGATCAATACTCTGGATCAACTATAGGGCACCAGTGGACAGACCCGATCATCAAAATATCCGAGACTCTCGCCAGATACACGACAGCTCCGACACTAGTATCGTCTGTGTCGGTGACGGCGTTGTCGAAAAATCCCATTATTACGCGCACCCAAACCCCAGCGACAATATCGACCCCTGCGAAATAGTATATTCCACACCACAAAGGATACAGCTTCAGTGATTGGAATCCCATTCCGATGACATAGATAGGTAGCCCCCACCACTAGCAGCAAGATTGGTGTTAGATGGCCATCCCATTGATCAAAGAACGACCCAGCCGCTTGCATCGAGGAGTCGTAACCAGAATAAGATGAACTCTGGGATGGGTGGTGGGAAGAGTACTGTGCTTGGTAGTTGGCATTGTAGCTCATGTGACGTGGTTTGGGTGAGGAGGAATGCCGGCCATAATGCTGATCATAGGCGTTGCCTGTTCCATAGTTTCCTTTTCGATATTTAGTAGCTCTGCTGCTTGTACACTCTTCAAACCCAAATCGTCCACCGAAGGCAACGTATAAAAACAAGAACACTAAACAAACATGAATAACGTTGCGACGGCAAGAAAAACCGGGGATGGGAGTTTGGTGGCTGCCCAGGCCTCGCGGTCGCGTTTGGTCATTGATGGGGTAGACGAACGACCTTGGACGGAGACTTCAAGGAGCTCTCCAAATTTTTCTTGCTCTGCGTCAGTGAATTGGTAGTACTGGGAATCGGGAGGTAGGGCGGATCGGTGGTGTGCTGAGGGCGCTGCGGAAGGTTGGCTCGTTGGAGGAGTGGAGATGGAAATTTGGGGCAGTTTGGGTTGGGTCAACATTGATGTCTGGGTGGGTTGGTAAACGAGGCTGCTTGGGTGAGAGATGATGCATGTAGAGCACTCAGGGACTTGGAGTGGGTGTGGGGGGGAATGCACAGAAAGGAAGTGGAAAGTAAGTCACTGACAGGTTGAATGGTATTTAAGTAATGGAGTTGGTGGAACTAACCATGAGGCTTTGGGGCCGAATGGGTCACCCCAGGGGTTTTTTCAATGAATTTTTCAAATGCCTGGGTGTCGGCAGATCCCATAGTTGCTGCAAACTGTTTGGTGTAGTGGATATTGTGGCAGCGGGGGCGGTTGCAATGGTAGTTGGCAAATAGGAAATGGGAACAGAAGGCTGCCTGTTTGCCGGTAATGGGGTGTTTACATTTGAAAGGGGCAATTGGAAGTCGGCCTGGGCCGTCATACGTCAGGTATCCGGGATGAGTTCCTTGAGGTGGGTGCTTTGCGCGTTTGGTTGGGTCAGGCCGTTCACGGGAATTGGGGCTCTCACGTTTGGGAGCGGGGGTTGGTTTGCCAGTGAGGATAGCATGCAGGTTGGGGCATGTGCCGTACGGGCCAAGGTTGCCCATACTGATGGAGAGATTGGTGTGGCTGATGGCTTGTGTGACTCCACTGAAAGCGTTCACGAACGTGTCTGCCATGATCGGTTGGCCATTACGAAGTTTACTCTGAGTCGTTTTGTTTTTGGCGGCTCCCACAACAATCTGCAAGATCTGGTTCATTTCGAGGAGGAGACACAATGGGAGGTGTGGGACTGCGGCATTGTAACGGATCCAATCTTTGGCAGCAGGTGTGTGGAGGGCGTTCATGAAATCCTCCAAGAGTGTGACAATTAACGGGGGGTCATCGAAGGTAAAGTCTTTGACACAGTATTTGACAAAGGCAAAGAAATTCGCTAACATCTTGATCAGAGCTTCGACAGAACTGACGTCGCCATGAACAAAGATGTCTGTCTTTTTCGCGGCTTGCTTGGACTTGTCTTCTTCCATGGCTTCCTGGCGGATTATGTCTCGGCCTTTTGAGAGGAAAGTGGTGTACCTGACATCATTTTTGTTCGGTGGGAGCCAAGCTAGGAGGCTGAGAAGTGAGGTGGCTTCGTGGGGGTGCATGGTGAGGGGGCGAACTCCAAAGCTGCATGTTTTGAGGGCAGTGACTGTAGCTTGTTGGAAGAGGGCAATATCGAAGTCGACGTTGCGGTCGTAGTTGTTCCGAGTGGTGAGGGTATCGGTGATGTGGGCAAGGTGTCATGGAGGTGGCGTAGGGCCTCTTTGATCGAACCGATTTCCAAGAATGTGGCAAAGTCGTCAGTGAGAACGGATGGGTGGAATTCGTTGACAGTGGAGCCGTCAAGCTGGATGACCGGTTTGACTCGGCCAAAAATCAAGCTGAAAGAGTCTTTGGCACTGGCTGAAGTGCGGGCCAGATCTTTTTCCTTGGTGCTGGCATTGGCGCCTTTGAGAGCGTTGGCCATGATCTGGGCAAAAAGTTCGCTAACGAATGGGGCCCCTGCTGGAAGGGGGGCTGCTGGAGCTTCTTGGGTAGTGACATGATTAGTAGATGCTAAAGTAGAGAGGGCCGAGTGCCGTTTGAATTCTTCGAAGAGGGCTTTGTAGGTGGGGACCTCAGCTGCAAATGCACTGACGGTGGATGGGGAATATGTCAGATGCGTAGCTAGGTCGCTGTCTGGAAATCGATCGGTTGGGATGGTGTCGGCGCTGAAGATGTGGGCGTGGGAATGGATGCTCTGGGACTCATTGTGATCGTGAAGGTACTTCATTGCCTCGTACCAGAGCCGGAATTGGGGGTGGAAGGATTCCAGATTGGCTGGTGGGGCGGTGGATAGCTTAAGGCTTGGTGGGATGTTGGCACCAGGGTAGATGGGGAAGAACTTTTTGACTTCGGTGAACACTCCGTCCCCACTGGGCCAGTGGATGTCCTCGGGTGGGTCGGTGCTATCGGGGGCCAAGGCAGTGTGGGCAGAGTATTGGGCGTCATGAAGGTGCCGGGCTTGACATTCTCGAGCGAGGTCGTCTCGGGCAATAGAGATGACGCTGCTGCCAAGGGCATCTAAAGAAAAGGCAACTGGGGTGGGGGCATCATAGCTATAATTAGTGGATGCCCAGTGCAAGTTTGGGCCGACCTGCTTAGCGCAGATGACTTGCCGGAGGGTACCATCGGCGCCATCAAAGTAAGCAAATCCGTGCGCTTGGGAGAGGAGGATGTTTTTGCACTCACTAGTGACATGGGTGTGGAAGTAGTTGGAGAGGAGGAGGTTTTCCTTAGTAGTATCCAGGGGTAGGTCCTTGACGGTTGTCAAAGCAGAACGACCAACCTGGAGGATGGCATCAAGGGTGCGTGGGGGAAAGGTCTGCATTGGTTCAATGAAATGGCCAATACTGGAGATTTGTGAGTAGGTTATGGAAACGAATAGTGACTATTGGGGGTAATTTTTAAATGAAATTTGTTGGTTGGAACGGTCGGTTCTTAGAGGTTGTAGTGCCTAACGGAAGGATGCCTGGTGGAGTATCCAGGGTGGGCCGTCATGGTGTTACAAACGGCAGGCTGGGTGTAGTCGGAGTGCCGAGATGCGCTGCCAGTCTTTGGCGAAGGCAATGGCGACGGGACTCACACGATTGGCGCATAGTGGGTTTGGTGCGGAGGTCCACAGAGGTGGAGTTGGCCGAATTGGGCGGTGTCTCACTCGAACTTTTGCGAAAATGCTGGTGCCGCACAGGATTGGAACGGGTCCGGGTAAGCGGGAACTTGGCGGTACGGGTGCATGGCGGTGGATGGTCTGCCACCGGTAGGTAAGTGAGCATGGAAATGGGAGATGCTGCAGGTAGGGGACTGGCGGAGATTTCCAGGGATAATAGTTGGTTGTTGACTGGCAACAAATGCACAGGCGCATTGAATAGGGTGGTAGCATGGGGCTAAACCACCTGACACCGGGTGTCGGTTCAAATATCAGGAATTTGAGGGTGGCACCGGTGGGCAAGTTATACAGAGGATGGGCGCTGACGCAACGGTGCATTTTGGTAGGGCTCCTGGGAGGGAGGTGGTCGTTGACGGTCAACGAATGCACAGGCGCATTGAATAGGGTGGTAGCGTGGGGCTAAACCACTTGACACCGGGTGTCGGTTCAAATATCAGGAATTTGAGGGGTGCCACCGGTGGGCGAGTTAAAACAGCGGATGGGCGCTGATCCAACGGTGCGTTTTGATAGGTCTCCCGAAGGAGCAGTTTTACGTCAAATGCGACGCTCTCGGGTACGCGAGAGGAAATTGGGATGCCACAGGTTGATTGGGCTCAAATCGGATTTGAGAATGCAACCTGGGCAAATTTGGATGGACGACTCTGGGAGTCGGTTAATGAGTAGATGAAAGAAAAAAAGATATAATCGTTCTGAACTGTTTCAGATTATCGTGGTTCCTTAGCTCTTCATCGTCTCATCTTGCACTTGGCAAAAAGAATGCTTCTGTTCACGCCTTCGTTTGCCATGCCGATTGTCTTCGAATTTTCGTCCAATGAATTACAGTTACTTTGCTTATTAAGCGACTGACGACATGACTGTTGGCGTGAAGACAGGAGTCTTCTCTTGCCAGTCCGTCTACCGTCTTGCCTGATCAAAAACTTGATCTTATAGTGAGAAACGACGAAACCAAACTTTCCAAACTGCCTGGTATGAAGTTGCAATGATACCAATGAGTGATGACTGCAAAAGTAGTGATCGTGACATTTGTTTTCATAAAAAATTGTTATGTCGTCCTTTCATATCTCATCAGAAATAGTATCGTATTGAGTATGCTCTTACAGTGTAGCTACTATGAGTTGATATACCCCACCCAGGCAATGGATCTATTCGTCTTCGATCAACTTTCATCAATGGCTTTGACATAACATCCCCAAAATGATTTCGTCAACAACACTAATAGAGAAAGCGTTCCTCGATCAATACTCTGGATCAACTATAGGGCACCAGTGGACAGACCCGATCATCAAAATATCCGAGACTCTCGCCAGATACACGACAGCTCCGACACTAGTATCGTCTGTGTCGGTGACGGCGTTGTCGAAAAATCCCATTATTACGCGCACCCAAACCCCAGCGACAATATCGACCCCTGCGAAATAGTATATTCCACACCACAAAGGATACAGCTTCAGTGATTGGAATCCCATTCCGATGACATAGATAGGTAGCCCCCACCACTAGCAGCAAGATTGGTGTTAGATGGCCATCCCATTGATCAAAGAACGACCCAGCCGCTTGCGTCGAGGAGTCGTAACCAGAATAAGATGAACTCTGGGATGGGTGGTGGGAAGAGTACTGTGCTTGGTAGTTGGCATTGTAGCTCGTGTGACGTGGTTCGGGTGAGGAGGAATGCCGGCCATAATGCTGATCATAGGCGTTGCCTGTTCCATAGTTTCCTTTTCGATATTTAGTAGCACTGCTGCTTGTACACTCTTCAAACCCAAATCGTCCACCGAAGGCAACGTATAAAAACAAGAACACTAAACAAACATGAATAACGTTGCGCCTATCTTCCGATTGCGAATAATACCATCGAACGGCCTTTGTAAACTGTAATTGGAGGTAGTCGAACCATGATAAAGACGAGTCTGACGATGGCGCCGATGGATCATCCATGTCAAAGATCGTGGCACGAGAGGGCGCAGACGACTCTCTGTTGCTGTATGGCATACCGGGCTCTGAAGCAACACTGTTGGATGATCCATCAGATCTATGATTGTCCAAATCCTGTTGATTTCTTGATGCCAATCGATGGTCACGTCGTAGTTCTTGAACCAGCATTTGCCTAGCCGTCGGGTGTCCAGGATCCAATTGAATCGCCCGTTGCAAAGAATTGCAAGCGTCGTTGCTGTGGCCTCCCAAGGCAATATATGCCGATGCCAGTCGTACCTACAGCAAAGCACATGTTTATCATGAGTCCAACAATCGATTCAGAGTAATTCGCAATTTCCCAGCCGCAGCAGCAGAAAAATAGCTTTTCTATATTGGTGTGGGCATCGACCTTCACAACTTACATGACCCTTTGCCCATTGATCATTCAGAGCAATACACTTTCATTGCCATCATATTTTATATAGTTCCATTGATAAAAGAAAAAAAGGTTGAAAGTGAGATTCGAAAAAAATGCACTCACCTCGCCAAACAGCTGTGCCTATACTTACTTGTTTGGCGTTGTCCACTGCCGCTTCAGCTTGTGCCGAACCCCCAATATTCAAACGACAAGCGACAATATTGGACAAGAGTAATTGTCTTTCTTTGCCGCGACTTGACGGTAGGGCCACACGATATAATTTCAGGGCTTCTTCAAAGTCTTCGTTTGCATATGCTTCTTTGGCTTGTTCTTGCAAGACACCCTCTTGGTTTGGCGATAGATTTCTCATGATAGCAGGATTACTGGAACACTTTTATTTGGACGTGTAAAAGTTCCGATTATTGAAAGTGCCTCTTTTTTTTTAAAAATGTCAACTGATCGGGGTCATAGACACACCCCCTAGCTAGGGGTCTTCCCCCCCCCAATATTTGACTCGTATGGTTGACACCCTTGATTCAAAAAGTGAACATTTCTGGCCGTGTCTTGCCGTATTTACAACTACAACAAAGAGGATTGGGCAGCACTTGTTGGGGCCGTGACCAATGGTTTGCTTGGAGAAAATTTGTCAGTGGACGAGCTCACCGACATGCGCTTTTCCAAGGTCTTCAAACAACGTTATGACAAGTGGTTAAGAAAGGAGTTCCATTTGGCAGAAAAGATCATTGAAAATTTAAATGACTGGCTGAAAGCATGGATAGATGTCAGTGACGATAGCGATCGAAAGGTCTTCACATACAAGACAGAGGACACAACAAGAGAACAGTTTTCAAAGGTTCCATACGTATTGGATCATGAAGGTGCAGCCACCTACCGTGGAGTGAAATCAAGTGCCGAGCATGGGCTGACCGAATGGAGAAGCTCAAGAGCTGAGTCAAGCTTGGAGAAGTTTCATGAACTATTGGCCCATTTTGCAAATATTGGTTGCAAATCGGAGTTTGCGAATGCTCTCATTGCCCGAGGTACGGCTGAGCACAACGTCGGTGCGAGGTGGAGATATGACTGCATGGTGCAACGCCAACAAGGTTCTAGATTACCGCATCCAGAATACGTGGACCGAACGCCCATTTTCATGGACCATTCCCTACTAGACCATTTGAACCAACAATCTACATCGCTTGGTTTTGGTGCCTTGTTCAAAGAGTGTCGAGTTCCAGAGGTTGGAAACGAGAAGGAAGTTTTCTTTTCCGATTACTGCACCGACCAAATGGAAAGAAACAAACAAGAGGGAACTGTTGCTTCAACTAAGGTTTGTCTTTGCGACGACTGCAAGGACAAGTACGAATCGCCTCAAACAACAAGTGTTGCCAGGAGGAGGAGTGGTATTGCCAGAGCGGTCGATCGATCAGCTGCAGCAGCACGGCCTTTACCTCAGCAGCATATGCAGCAACAAGCAGCAGATCACAGCACACTGTTGCAATGGCTTCCAAACAATCCAACTTTCAATCCTGTGCATGCTTCAACGACCAGTGGTTTTTTGACTCCGAATCAATTTGCCTTGACTCCGAATCAATTTGCCTTGACTCCGAATCCATGTGCCTTTTTCACGAATCAATCCGCACCACATAGCCGGACTGTTTGCAAGTCCAGATGCTTTCCGAATTACCCTTTCAATTGCACAAGATTTGCAGGATACCTTGAGCGGTCCAAGTCCGGTTCAGTGGTCGGGAGACCACCTCACGATCTATGGTGCCCAAAGGTGCAGGGTTACTACAAGTATGGGGAGAATTAAAATGCTAGATGCAGTTTCAAAATGATTGATTTGTTATAGTAGTAGCAGTAGTAGTATTTGCTTCATCCGCGTTTCCCCTGTGTTCAATTATTGTACCATGGATTGAGAACGATTCTATGTTGGAGGAGTGATGTCATACCGGTACAACAATTAGTTTTTCGGAGGACTCGAGACAAGTTTAAAAAGTGTATAGCTTGCAAGATTTCTTATTGGCTGAGCTACTTCACGCATTCAATCCAGTCAACCGCGTTTCGTTCCATGTAGTCAAAATTATATTGAACTGGTCAACCGAGTCTTGCAGAATGCGTATATAAAAAGACATGTCTTATCAACAGAACCCCCGTGTCAACCCCCTGCTAAATTTATTATTTCTCTATGTTTTCTTGATCGCCCCCCTAATAAGCATCCATTTGTTTTTCTACAGTCACGAAGGATTGAATATGACATGAGAAGAGGAGGTGGAAAACGGAATCTCCCCTCTTCTTTTTTCCCTCTCCTTTTTCCTTTTTTCTTTACCCCCAAGATACCGGTAGCCACCTGAACCCCCCAAATTTTCGTACCAAGCACATGCTTGCGATAAATTTGGAATAAATTTTTATAATGGAATCTGGAATTTTGTTCAAGGCCCAGTTGCTCCTTCCACTGCTCAAGCGACCTGTTGGAGGTGGAGGTCATTTGGTAAATATAATTCATAATGTGCTTGTTCTGAAAGTCCAATTTCTAATATTTTAAACGCGCGTAAGAGACGCCAAAAACACCAACTCCTCGCGTGTTCCAGCGCCAAAGGAAAAGGTAGTACCACCACACAAAGCTTAACGTGCTATCATTGTGCTCCTGACTCTCATCGTAGAGAGAGCGTACTAGTGCATTGATGTAGCTACTGTTGGACATGATAGACGGTGATTGATATTGCTATTGGGGTGTATTTACGGGGGTCTGAAGCAGCTGTGAGTAGATGATGGATGATTGATCTTGGGCTGAATATTCGGCCATGACCGTTGGCCTTCGATCGCTCTAATACATCTGCTCAGGACTCGGCAGTCCAGTCAGTCAAGTTACGGAAGGTGTAAATCGTTCCTACCTGACAAGCTCCTCAGCGAATTGTCGTTAGTATTGTTTCATCTGTGCGCCGTTTGTATCGATCGATCTCCGCCTATCCAAACTATTCTGGAGAAAAAACATCTGCTCACCATCCTTGAAAGGGTGCAAAGCCACTATTTGCTGTAGGTCCCCATACATGAGAATATTTGATAGCTGGTATCGGCCAGTGATCTGTATGAAGCTCCCGTTATGTTTTTCGGATCCCCCTTGGGTACGGTTTCCATTGCCTTTGCAGTAGGCGCCACTTAATCTTTTGGCACACAACCCGATAATGACATCCGAATGCCAAAGAACACCCTTGTACTCAGACTTCCTCAAATTTTGTACACACCCTCTTACCCCCGTGGCTAGTCTACCTAAAACATCCCGCGTCATGATGTATCCAGGCCCCCCCATGCAGTAAGGTCTATCTATCCCAGCTGAACGCAAGTCTTGTCGCTGTTCTGGAAGGCCGTAGCCTCGTCTTCCCCAAATGCTGGGTTCCTGCGTATTTCCAAGAACTTCTTCGTTTTGTAGGAACGCCATAAGTGCAGGCGTGTTTACAAATGTATCGTCGTCCACTTTCATGAAGTACTTGAAATCCCAAATAATGTGGTCTTTTTCAAGCTGAATCATAGTATGTAGTGCGTATCGCAGCATCCTGGTGTTCTTGTAGACTGGTGGGTATTCGTTGTCTGCTAATCCGGACATGATCACAAGGTCAGACGGATCCTGCATACCTGCTTGTTGAGCTAATTCCACTTTTGACTCGATCCCATCGCCGACAAAGTACCTAACAACAATGATGGGATAAGACTGAGCAGCCCAAGACTGCCGAACGTACTTGACTCGACTCGCAAGGGTTTCTCTTGAAGAAACCACCGCAATGAAAATCAAACCCTGGTCCTTTTGGAGCATTCGTTCATTTCCGGATATCAAGTTGTGACGCGAGGAAGATGTCATTGCGAACACAAGGTATATCGGTATAATTACCAACGTAAGCGTTAATGCTGCTATTGTGGTTAGGTTGCACGCCGAGGATAGCGTCATCACTTGGACCAAATGTACCATGAAGTGGAATGAATGAATGAGCCGTAGATCCGGGTTTCTCTGATTTTTTTGAGTCCGTGGTCATTATCACAACGTGAAACGCACGCAATTGAAATGTTAATTCCTACGAAGACGAATGAATCTCTACCAAAGCTCCAACCCGAAGATCATTGTTCCATATGATGAATTGGATAGTTCAGGTCTAATTTGCAGCTTCAGTTTTGTGGTGAATGCAATTGATGGCTATAAGACTAGGCACTTTCGCTCGATGAGGACGAAAAACTTGGTTATATGTTGAACATCCGAACTTCGTTGGGCTGCGCTGCGAAGGAGAATTTGTGACCATCAGACTGACAGCTCAATGTTAAACGAATTCGAATGCATGAATACGTTATATTGGACGACATACACTCGCTCAACCAGAAATCAGTCACAGTAAGGGAAATTACTATACAAACCGCAGTGTACTGTCATGCCCTGGTAATATCATTGCTGTATTGCGACAAAACTAGAAAAGGACGCCGGTTACATTCTTGATACAATCTCAAAATCAGATGCATTATGTTTTCCATCCAAATTTAGCTGTACACATCTCAATCTTTTCACAATAACAAACAAAAGAATGATCGAGAATTCTTTGTCCTATCGTTCTTAACGAAATAGTAGAATTCAACAAGCGCCTTCGAGTATTCACTTGCAAGTGCAGCAGGCTTGGACGGGAGTCAAGCCACCCGCACCTGGTATGTCTCTATGATATTCACAAATAGGAACACCTGTGGCTTCCGTCGATGCGTACGCGCCGCAATCATATCCGTTACTTTACAAGAAGAACGCCGTAAGATATAATATTGTAAAAAATATATAAAGCAGGAGATTTGATTCCAATGCAGCATAAGTGAACTTACGAATCAGTCCATCCAGGGGAGTCGGAGCAACTTCCAGCAGAAGAAGTGGGATTGGTAGGCGAGTTGGCGTTGCTGCCCTGCCCTGTACTGTAATTGCAAACACAGCAGGCTTGGACAGGTGTCAAGCCACCAGCACCTGGTATATCTCTATGATATTCACAAATAGGAACACCTGTGGCTTCCGTATAAACGTACGCCTGACAATCATATCCGTTACTTTACAAGAAGGACGCAGTAAGATATGATCGGGAAAAATATAGAAAGCAGGAGATTTGATTCCAATGCAGCATAGATGAACTTACGAATCAGTCCATCCAAGGGAGTCGGAGCAGCTTCCAGCAGTAGGAGCGGGTTTGATATGCGAGTTGGGGTTGCAAACACAGCAGGCTTGGACAGGTGTCAAACCACCAGCACCTGGTATATCTCTATGATATTCACAAATAGGAACTCCCGTGGCTTCCGTATAAATATACGCTTGACAATTATATCCATCACTTTAGACGGGTTGGATTGGATTAGCAAGAAGAAGAAAAAGCACGAAGATTCCATTTCAGCATGGACCAAATACCTTACCGATCAGTCCATCCAGGCTTGTCGGTGCAAGTTGCACCAGGATTGCCAGGGCAAAAGTCAGCTTGTTCTCCCCATTGATCACAAACAACGGATTTAATCCAATGGAAAGCTGAACTAGTACGAGCAAAGACGTTATCATACTTGTGGAACTTGGCACACTGAGGATTGCCGAGGAAGGAGGTTACTCCAACTAGAATGTGTCTATTTCCATTGCGGACCACAAGTGGACCCCCAGAGTCACCATAACAGATACCCCTCCCAGTGGCTCCTTCAGATGAAGAGAACAAGAAAGTAGTTGATGGGATGGGGATAGGATAAACAATATTGATTCCTATGGATATCGTGTCGTACCTGCGCACATCATAACGTCGGTATTGAAAAAGGAACCCAAATTGTCCTTACATTCCTCAGCGTTAATAACGGGAAGCATAACGTCATGCAGATCTCTTCCTTTGACGAGTTGAGAACCCCTATTTTGTACCCCAGTACCAAGGGCAACCACAGTACTTCCATCTACAGGAAAGGAGCGATCCTGATTGAGAGAAAGACTAACTGGAAGTCCTGTCACGGCCTCGTCCAAAAGATAGAGCCTGGGGGAAAGATCGCGATTGGACTTTGGAATGAGACCCGTTCTTGCAAACGATGTGATTGGAATCATAGCATATCTACTCACGCGAAATCATTGATTGGTCCAATTCGTCCAGCTTCGGCAAATCCTGGGTGTGGAACCCATCTAGACCAAGATATCAACTTTCCATAGGTCCCTGCTTTTCCTCTCTTGGATCCATTGACGATCACTTTGTTTCCACTAAACTTAGAAGTCCCACAGTGTGCAGCAGAAAGGACAATTTTGGGAGCAATCAGGGCTCCTCCACAGTCGCCAGTATCGACTGTGCACAAGAAGGCGTAGATTGTTAGCATGAAAAACTTGACAAAGGTTTCAACGAGAAACTTACCGTAGTATGGGAACTCATTTTGGTAACTTTGTGATCCACCAATAATACGACTAGGTTCATTTTGACGCTCGTTCCCTGACAAGGGAGCATCACCCTTGCCGCTTTGTTGTACCAGTGCAATACATCCAATGATGACTGCTGCAATGAATAGGGCCATCAGAATCAAGACATGTCTGTCTCGCTTCCTTTCCTGTACCAGGTGGGAAGAAGCATCGTCATTGTCACAAAAGTCGCCTTCCGAGGAATAGCTCATTTCTTTGACTGTTTGCCCTGCTGAATCCTGCGGGCTATCGCTTTGGGATTTCACTTGTGACTCATCCATCATCATTGTGACCTTGACGATTTGTCAATGAGCAATATTCAAGATGTAGGCCACCACAAATCATTCGTTATACCGAGTTCGGTGACCCAGCCTGGCATCATTCGTTGCGCTCTAAAATCTATCTTGTCATGCTGACTCGCCCTAGTAGATATTCCCGTACCAAGAGTAAGCCCGTATCAGAAGATAGCTAACGGAAATATTTCAACCCCTCAATAACCGCCCTTCCAATCAATTCGTTACTAATGATTTCAGTCTATAGTAACGTTTATTACAAGAATGCATGATTAATACAGGCAGTGCTAATAGCCATTAACAGTATCAATGGCGTTCATGGCACTGCTCGAGGTATCTAATATCTAGCTTGATTGGAAACCTTCTATTCCCCAATTGGAATACAACCCACTTCTTGCTGTTCAGCCAAGACATACGAAATGGAATCACAAGCCACTGTCGCTTCTTGATATTCCGCCCCGTTGATTCTTAAAAGTTGAAAAATATGATAAGAACGGATTTCAAATCTTGGATGATTCATTCAATCAGTTTGATAGGCTGACTTGCATTGAGTTGTACCATCTCCTCGTCCAATTGAACAACCCCGATATTACAATACAGTTTACCTTGTCAGACTTCTCCCTGCCTTCATTCCTCCTCCTCTCAATAGTATATCCAAAATCCCTTATTTCCCATATGACTAATCCCATTATTGATGCATCAAAGCATTACTACACTATGTTGATACTGCACCTATTCGTATGGGGATTATGCCTCCGATGGAAAATGCTTGAATGGGTCTAAGTCAAGAAATTGTGATGATTCACTGCCCTCCTTGACCAAACCACCAATACCGCCCCAGAGCCTGGATCGGAATTGTGTCCCAAAGGAATTTGTCGTGATAAGAATTCTCTTTATTCTTTCATGCGGTTTTTAACAGGTATAGACTACCGGTACTTATTGGCCTTGGATTAGACCAGAAACGAGGAAAAGTCACCTTGACGACATCCCAAAATTAGTCTACCGTACTACATCATCCGACTCCGATTTTGGCCGGAAAAGGCCCTATCGGTATTGTGGTTCCAAATCATAGTATTCCTACACGTACTAGTTGTTATATATATATACCTAGTAGACATCAAGGCCTCCTGATCTGGCAACATACAGTAGGCCATTTTAAAGGTGAGAAGCGCCTTGTTGTTGGGCTCATCATAGAAACAAAGCAAGCTGTACCTTCTCTTGCATCCGCTCGATTGGCAGACGAACACTGACGAACATTGAGATGACGGGACCACATGGAGATTCCCGAATTAACTGCACGTGCGTTGAATATTGGTACCCCGCTGGTACTGTATTGTTCGCTGGTCGCTACGGGTTGAATATTGGCCACGAAGCAAGAGCGAGAGGGACGTAACTCTCATTGCTCGAGTGGTGTTCAAGCTATGATACGCAACAACACGAGGACAAGTGTACTGGTTATTGGTTTCAGGCTTCAGAAAGTACATCTGAAGTTATCGTGACTATTCGCTTGGCTCTCGCTTTTTTTCGCATTCAATTCCTAATCTCCGATCATGACTGACTACTTTGCTGGACTAAAGTCTGCTCGCACGGCGCCTCCTCTACCGACGGTGCCTGTTGGTGATGATAGTTTGGTTGTATTTGGGGGGGGGGGATGCGAAGAACGTTGAGCTGTGTTTCAAGTCAAGAACATCACTCGGGGGAGCGGATTGCGAAATGAGACAGTCCGCGTTTTCTGATGGGTTGGATGTTGGCGGTGCTGAAATTGATGGATCTGGTGTGTTTGCTGGTTTGGCCAAGCATAAGGGGAAGCTACCTGGCGGAAAGCGATCGGGAAACGAGGCTGAAAAAATGGACTTGGCTTTGTCCTTCAGGGATTTGACTCCTCTATCATTGGGGAATCATCCTGTTGACATGTCAAAATTTGCGGGAAAATTTGCAGATAAAATTGTGGAGGTGGATCGTTTGGATTTG